CCCAACCACACAGACCCACGTCCTGTCCCACGGCACCCAGGAGAGGGTCTCCCTCCTCCCTGGGGCCCCCTGTGCCGCCAGACTCCCACCCCACCTCCTGGGAGTGATGGACCCCCCTGTCTCTGCACCCCTGCCCACCCAGGGCCTTGTGTGTGTGCACGTTTGTGTGGGTGCACACGTGCACAGGAACACGTGGGTCGGTGCTGTGCACACACGGCAAGGCCGTGGTGGATGGGAACCCGAGGCTGCTCTCCTGTCAGCAGCATTCCCTTGCCTTAAGTGCGAACTCGACCGAGGCGGTCATTAAAAAGGGGTCGGGGGCTCAGAAGCATCTGAGCTGTGCCTTAAAGGAAGAGCGAAGTTTAGATAAATGGCGAGGGTGGGAGACCGGTCAGTACCTTGACTTTTCTAGCGTCTTTATTGCGGACATTTCACATGTACGCACAAGGAGAGAGGATAGTGTTTTTAAAAATCCGCCTACCTTTCACCCGGCTTCAACACTTGTCAACGTTTCACTAGTTTATTTTGAAAATAAGGAAGGGTTTAGGGGTGAGAGTAGTGAAAATAATATCTCTTGAAGAGATAAAAGAAGAGGCACCCCTCGAAGCTTGTCCAAATACAGGGGTGCCCGTGCACCCCTCTCGTAAGGGTATCACATGGCCCTGAAGCACAGGGCCCGCGTAGGGTTGCAACGGGATGTGGTCGGCAACAAGCGGCTACTGGTGTTTCGGCCGCTGTCTCTCTGACTTTCACGTCAGTTCTCTCTCCACATATGCTGAAGCTAGCGATCACCCCACCTTCACTTTGATCAACCTGGAGTCGCCATCTGGGTTCCCTGCAAGGACCTCATGATGGCACCGCCTCCTGCCCCTCCAGGCTCTGCCCTTTCCTAGGTCTGAGGGCGCAGGCCAGAGAGCAAGTAGGGCTGGACACGAGGGAAAATTACCCACATGGTTCCTGCCCTCCAAGATCTGCCACTCCCATTGAGGAGTGCCCCTCTGGTGGCTCTGAGGGCCCCTCTGTGGCAGGAGGTGGGGTCATCGTCTAGGAATGATGAGGGAGGTGGTAGGAGACATGAATTGAGGAGAGTAGGCAAGGTTGGGGTTTGGTGAGGAAGGTTTCGGGGGTTTAAACTATGAGGAAGTGTACTGTTGACCGAACACGAAGGCTAGAGGGAGGTGATGATGGTTGTGGTTGAGTTTTCCAATGAAGGGTCATCAAGGACCCAGACCCTTTCCTTCCTGACCCTTTTAAACAGCATGTGGGTGTTCTAGGCTTGGTGCTGGGTGAATGACTCCTGCCTAGGAAAGAAGAGCTCGTAACCATTGTATATTTTCTAAATAATTCGTTTTATTTTAGTCTTTTAAATAAGGTGCTCAACTCGCCAGCCTCATTTGTGAGCTCTTTTGTGCCTTATGCTTTGTCGTATCCCCAGTGCCATGGGCAGTGCCTGGTACCCACAAGGTGCTCATTCACTCATTCAAGAATTATTTGCTGCTAAGTGCTAGGATGCAGGGATCCAGGGCACCTCGCCCAGCCTGTGGGGTGGACGTGGGGTCAGCAAACACTTCCTTGGGATCATAATGCCGGACCTGAGTCCCTGAATCTCGGAGGCTCAGCAGGATATTGAAGGCTTCCCTTCCATTAGCAGCCAGAGTCTGAAGCTGTTCCTATGCCAGAGCTCACGGGGGGGGGGGGGGGGGGGGGGGGGGGGGTCAGCGTCCAATTAGTGCTGATTGAACACCTGTTATGTGCGCGGTGCCGGGGCGGCAGGTTAATCACAGTTCTTGCCTTCAAGGAGCCTCTCGGCCAGTCAGGGAGAGAGCAAAGCACTTCAGCCCTAGGTAATGAGTGAGCGCACGGGCACTCCCCAAGGCCGCCAGGAGTGAGCGGCCCTTGAACCCATGGCACCATGAGGAGGGGCCAGCTGGCCCAGAGGCTGGAAGCGGGGTAGGTCGGGAAACGCGGCGGAGAGGAGGGCGCGCAGGAGGAGGGTGGAGTGGGGTACAGCCCCTGGGCTGGCTCTGCCTTTGCCCCCTTGCCTTTACCTCATTTGGACTTGGGAGCTCGCTCCTTGTACTTCTAGCTCTTTGGCCGGAGAAGTGTCTGACGGTGCTCCAGGGTCTGGGTGTCATCGTCCGTGAAGGGGCCGTGAAACGTTCACTGACCCCCCCAGAGCTGCTCCATCTCGGAAAGCGTCAGGGTTTGTTCCACGTGTGACGGCGGGAAAGGGGGTTACCGGTAAGGTCCAGGCGCCCGCAGAACCACAGCACAGCCCTCAGGAGGAGGCGTGGGGCTGCGAGGGCTGCACGGACATGACCGACTGGGCTCTGGCACGTGGAGCCCCTCTTCCCCCTCCCCTTGCATTGGACCGCCGGCCTCGTCTGCTCGTGGCTCTCCAGGAGTCTCTTGAGGGCCCCCTCGACTTCCTTGCTCCTCAGACTATAGATCATAGGGTGGAGCACGGGAGTGACACTGGTGTAGATTAAGGACACAGTTTTGTCCTGTTCTGGGGCGTAGCATGACTTGGGGCGAATGTAGATGAATATCGTGCAGCCGTAGTGCAGAAGGGAGACCAGCAGGTGCCCAGCACAGGCGGAGAAGGCCTTGCTCCTGCCCTCAGCCACGTGGATTCTGAGGACGGCAGCGATAATGAACCCGCAGGAGAGCAGGGTCAGCAGGAAGGGAACCAACAGGATGAGCAGGCAGACGCGGAAGACCGCGACCTCACTGGCCCGCGTGCGTCCGCGCAGGCCAGGAGTAGCACAGCGGGGATGTCACAGAGGAAATGACTGATCTCATGAGACTGACCAAAGGGGAAGAGGGATATCAGTGTGGGGAGGGTGAAGGAGAGCGCAAGTCCGCTGACTCACGCCAGAGCCAGCATCTGCAGACACAGGGTCCTGGCTATGATGACTGTGTAATGCAGGGGCTTGCAGACGGCCACAAAGCGGTCGTAGGCCATCGCAGCCACGAGGAAACACTCTGCCCTGCCCAGGGCGCTGAAGAGATGCATTTGCAGGGCTCAGCCCAGGAAGGGCATCCGCTGGCTCCCGGACAGGAAACTGGCCAGCATGCTGGGGACGATGGCCCATATATAGCCGATTTCAATGGTGGACAGGTTGCGAAGGAGGAAATACGCGGAGTCAAAGAGGGTGATGAGCGCAAGAGTCGTGTGCCCTGCTAGGGTGACAAGATGCATGATTAGAAACAGTCCAAACAGGGAGATTTGTAATTCAGCCAGGTCCCCAAAGCCCAAGACAATGAATTCAGAGCTCAAGGTGTGCTGCTTCTGCAGTGGGGCCATCCTGCGTTCTCCTCTGTCGAGCTCCTGGGCCGGAAAAGGCAGCTTTCTAGCAATTCTCTAAGTCATGGGAGACCCTGGAGCCCTCTCCACAGATGGCCATTGTCCCCATTCTGTGAGCCTTTTGAATTCTGCCTTCTGTTCAGTGAGAGCGGCGGAGTGCTCGCTCTGATGGTGACGTCACTTTAGTTCACCTGTTGAGTTATTACAGAAACGAGCCGAGATGAGTGAAGTTGTCTTTAACAGACCCTAACGAAAGTCCTCCTTCTGACTACGTTTTGAAGAGCGGCCTCAGGGTAGGGGTTGGGTGCTGAGCGTGATGTTACTTAGGTTGGAACAGAGGCCGGGCCGGCGGGGTCATTGACGCCGTGGGGAATTCCCGTGGGATGGAAGGTCCGGCGAGTTGGTCTTAAAGACACTTTGACTCTGTGCGTTGGCTATGTTGTCCCTCCCTCGCCACCGCCCCTCCCCACCAAACTCCCAGGGTTCCTGCAGCCTCCCCTGTTTCAGCTCCGCTGAGTCGCTTACGTGTCACCCTGCTCTAGACACCTCTTCTGAGCCCTGGGCTGAGTCAGGCGGATTCTCTCTCTGGCTACCCCAAAAGCCTGTGGGCTCCCTGATGGCAAGAATGATTTCTTATTTAGGCTCTCAAACAGTGGCTGGTACATATTAGTATTATTGGTGAAGATCTGTTGACTAAAAGTCTGTTGCTCATTTCTGCATCCTCTGCAGTTAGGGCAGAGTCAGACGTTGAGTAGGCGCCCAACACGTATGCTTGAGTTAATGGTTAAGTGAAGGCAGGGAACCTTTGACGTATTGGGGATGCTGAGGTCATGATCGTCCAGGGTGGGAGGAAGCAGGACAGAACTAGGACATAGTCGGCACCTTCCCAGACTTTGGGGGACACGTTTGCTTCTCTCTTCCCCGGTAGGACCAAAGATACAAGTAGGAGGCCTTATGCCTAGGCTTCGATTCCTTCCTGTGCATCCCTTTCTCACAGCAGAGGAGAGGAGAAGATTGCTAAAGAGTCTAGAGATCTAACACATCGAGACTCAACAGGAGTGACCTGTTGAGGTCACTGAGATGGGTTCTCTTCATTTTCAGCGCCTCGTGGAAATGGAGTTGTCACCTCAAGGACAGGAGCTCACTTAGGTACCATTTGGACCGGGGCCAAAGTGTGAGACTCGAAGTGTGTTCACTGAAACCTGAAAACCCATTCTGCTGATGGTTTTGCTTGGCCCAGACGGAGTTTGTGCTTCCAGTTTTCCAGTCCCTTCCTTGCATGTCACACTGACTATTCTTTGGGTGTTCACTGACCTAATGGGCGCCTAGAGTCTCTGAGCAGCACGGGTCCCTGGAGGGCCGTTTGCCCACTCGTTACCGCAGAGCCGATGGTCACGACGTCTTCCCCGGATGACGCCTTCCCTGCTCCCAGCCCTGCCACCAGCTCCGCCTGGAAATCACACTAAGTGCCCTGCTCTGCCAGCGGTCTGAGTGAGGCCATCCTTTCCGGGTTCTTGTTTCTCTTCCTTGGACTCGGACCCTCGGCTCTGGCTTGGCCACAGCTGATCACTTCCTCTCTTTTTTCCCATGACGGGGCTGCGGACATGTGGGGATTGCTTTGTTTCATTTGGGCCCTAAACCTTGAAAATACTGAAAACACAAAGATGAAAGTCAAAGACTTTCAAAGACACATGATCCAAACGGTTGAAAAGCGAGAAGTGAAAGTCAGTGTGACTTTCTCCCCCTGCTCTCCCAGAGAGCATCGCTCTCAGCCGGGGGGGCTCACTTCCTTCCCTGCTTTGTCCGGTGCRTACAAACGCAAACACTTCACGCACACACTCACACGCATGGGCATACGCACACACACACACTCCCACACGTGTACACAGRAACARKCATGCACACACCTTACACACGCAAGCATAAACACGATCACATGTACGCACACATCTGCACACGTGTATGGACACACACAGTGCACACGTGTATGGACACACACAGTACCCACCTGCGCGCATACATTCACACACACCTGCACGCATATATGCACATATTCCCACACTCACACGTGTATGTATATAAACATTCACCACAGTCACACATTAAAAAAGCTGAAATGGGATCATATTACACATATAAACTGACTGCCCTTAGTGTTTTCACCGCATAATGTGTCCGGGAGAGGTTTTCAGTCAGCACGTAGCTGGTTTACGTCAATCTTTTTTTCTTTTTCTTTTTTTTAACATCTTTATTGGAGTACAGTTGCTTTACAATGGTGTGKTAGTTTCTGCTTTATGACAAAGGGAATCATACTTCAGTCTTTYAACTGCCGCATTCTACAGTATGGATGCACTGTAATGTCATTAAGTATAATGAAATAATACAACAAACACACGATAACAGATAAAACCTATACACAAAAGTAAATAAAACATAATTAAAATAACTGAGACTTGAATCAGTCTTTCATTACTTCGGTGTTGCAGTGGTTTCTATTTGTTTCTTACCACACGCCACGGTCCAAAGCATAGCCCCGAGTGGAGCGCGGAGCAGCGGCCCCGCGTGAGTACGGCTCGTGCATCCTTCCTGCTCTTTTCTCGCGTGCCTGGAACGGCCCCGGAGAAGAGATGTGGTTTTGTTACCTGGGAGGCACAGATCAGCGCGTGAAGCGGAAAACCGGGGAGAAGCCCGAGGAGGAGGAAAGCCCATCTTCAGGGAAGCAGCGGCAGCGCCGAGTGGCCTGGACCCGGTGGCACAGCTTCCCGCAGCCTGGCCGGTGGCTTTCCCGCCTGTCCGGACCACGGGGACCGAGCCCTCGGAAGCACTGTCTGATGGCTGGAAGGAAGGGAGTGTCCTTAGAGGAGCTGCTACGTTGGCCCTAGAGGAGAGGTGGGGAAGGAGGCCGTCCCTGTGGTCCACCCCACCGAGGGGAGGCCCTTCCCTAGGTCACACAGCTGAACCCAAGCCCAAACTCAATTACTCAGGTTTTCCTTGCCAAAAAAAAAAAAAAAAGAAAAAGAAAAAGAAAAAAACAGTCTAGATCTTGACAATGTCGTTTAACTCAGATCTGCTGAAATTGCGGGCCCACTGTGCCGTCACCAGTATGCGAATGGGCCTCAGGCTGATTTTAGAGGCAGGAAATGCACAGGTTTGCTTGGGTTTGAATCAAGCCATCAGGCCTTGCTAGAGAGGAGTGCAGAGTGGGCAGTGGAGCCCGAGATCGGTGAGCTTCTAAGCCCCCCAGCCCCCAAAGCTGAGAGTCTACAAGGGGACTTAATCAGGGCCATCAGGGATTCCATTTTTAATCTGCAAACTCTGAGTCATCAAAGTAGCTTCATTGAACGAAGTGGGGACTGAGGGTTATGGAAGCTTGAGAAAGCTACTACTCAGCTGACCCAGGCTTCTGTCTAATACTTTCATCTCCCCGGTTCTGGTCTAGGTGCAGCCCGATGTCCAACCTGCACTGTGCCCCGCATCCTCGTAAGGCAGGACCCCAACGACGTCTCGCCTACATTCATAAAGCCAGTCTTCCCCCTGCAGCCACTCTGGGCCTTCCTTTGGTTTCACTTCCACGGCCCACAGGCTTGCTCAGAGTAAACCCCCTTTCCACCGCCGTCCTTTGGAGGATAGCCCTGCCCGGGCCAAAGCCTCGGAGGGCTAGCTCGGTGCTGGCCTGCAGGCGGCAGTGGGACAAGGCCTGCCCCGCAGCATTCTGCCACACTCTGCAACCGGAAACAGGACCCCCAAGAGCCCTCTGGGTACTCAGAATTACACACAATTCCCCTTGAATCATTCCAGTCGTCTCTGCCTCTAATCATGACCCCAGAGGGGCTGCCAACAGTCCAAGGTGGGCCTACGGCACTTTTCCACCTTCTTCTCCCTCCTCCCTGGCCTGTTTCTCCTCTTGGCCCCAGTTTCTAATACAAAAGCTCTTCTGCCACCTAATGGAGAGAAGCACCGTGCAACTCTCCAGCGTCGATGAGTGACCTGATGTGGCGGCAGCACGGGGCTGAGGATATGCTGTCTTCCTCCAGCTAATGCGCATGCCCACCTTAGTGCCAGCATTACCGGCACGTGGGGTCCGAAGGGAGGGACGGCAAGTAAGAGGTTTTAAACATAAATTCAGCACTTTGGAAGAAAGGCACGTCAAAAGGGCCCTAAGTAACTGGGGCTGCCGCCTCTGCAAATTCCTAGATGTTCTAAGGCAGTGTCAGCGCAGCTGCCACACCACTCACAATCACAGACTCTGTGTGTCTCCCCTGGTTTCCTCGAGGAAAGAGATGCCACATGGAGATGCAGTGAAATACACTGTTGGTGAGCAGCGTCCAGAGGTCCACGTTTCCTCACCAGGGGGAGTTTGTCAGAGGTTCTCAGTGTGGAGTATTTGGTCTCTTTCTCCTTCCCTTTCCACTCCCTCCAATGGGTTGTTCTGAGTCTAACTGTGTGGGGTATAGGGAATTAGCTGTATTCACAAACCAGCCTTTACCAGTGTAGAGGCTTTGCTTCCCCATCTGCTGGGAATTTTCTTGTATTTCTCAAGGGGTTCAGAACTCCGGCAGGGAAGAGGTATGCTATTTATTGGCCCTTCTTCACTCCCCCAAATTCTCAACTTAAGTGCTCATATTTGTATTTAAGTTTCTTAGAAATTGTGCTGCCAAGGAGGCAGGCATGCAGTCCTGAGTGGGGAGCCTCAGAATTCCCTTCATTTCTCAGGGAAGGAACTCCGCTCCCGCTTCCTCACCTTACGGGCAGTGGGTCGGGACACTAGGCCTCTTGGTGGAACCACGTGCTTGTATTCGGTTAGGACGTGATGATGAAGCAATCTGGTTGATTGTTTTTCCCTTAACAGTCTCTTCATGGTTGTTTTGATTTACTGAGGTATAGTTGACGTACAGTATTATATAAGTTTCAAGGTGCACAGCATAGTGATTCACAGTTTTTAAAGGTTATAATCCACCTATCGTTATTATAAAATATTGGCTCCATTGCCTGTACTGTACAGTATATCCTTGCAGCTTATTTATTTTGTACATAGTAGTTTGTACCTCTTAATCTTCTTAGTGACAGATTGATGGGTTCTCTTTATTTTCCTGCCTTGTATTTTGGCAACCACAAAGAGCTCCACAGTTGAAATTACCTGTAGGTAGGTAAGCATCGGATTTCTAGGACCACCAGGCACCCCGTGCCCCTGATTTCCCCCCATCTGCTTCCTTCCCTCGGGGGATAAGCGTCCACAGACCTTGGAGCCGGGATGGGTTGGTCTCAGCCAACCCAGATTTTGGAGTTTGTGGGAATACCTTGTCACCTAGTTTTGCTGTGGACGTTACCCTGGGTTTTTGGGTTTGCTATCGTTTCCTGTATCTCTTTCTCTTTCTCTTTCGGGGCTGGGAGAGTAGATGAGGATTTTGTGAAGATTCAAAAATGATGTTACCACCTCTGCTGCCACCTTCCCAGAATCGAGAAACTGTATGGCTTCTGGGTCAGAACGATTAATAAAGATATCTTAACATCGATACAACAAAACAGAAAAATTAGACGTTCTGGGCAAATCGTGACTTGACATGGATCTAAGTCCTCTGTCCATATTTCTCCTGGAACGACAAATGATGGGGGGCCGAGGGGCGCAGGAGAGCAGAGCTCCTTGGGGAATTGCACCCACTGACTGAGAAGGGTCAGGGCTGGAGGTTCGGCAGCCGGAGGAGGGGACGCAGCCTTCTGGGGAGAAGTCCACCTGATACTGGTCGCATCTGATGATGTCAGGGCAAGAGCTGGGCACTGCCACGGAGGGGCTTTCTGAGGGGACTGTGCCCAACCGACCGACTGGCTACTGCCCTAGGATAGAAAAAGAACGTCTGTGCTGCAGTCGTCTTGGGCTCCGGCCTCACCACCCTCACTATCACTTGCTCCATGTTGAAGAGGACAAATCTAAAGCTGAGGGAGATGAAGCATCTTAGCTTCCCCGCAGCCACCCAGCCGGGAAGGGGTGGAGTTGAGTTGGGCCTCGGGTGGTCTGCCTGGCCCCAGCTCAGGTCCACCTCACAGTCAAGTCTGGCCTCAGTTTCCACTGTAAGCAGACTAATGCTTGACTCTTGTCTGCTTCACGTGTCTGTGTTTGGTCCCCTATTAGTCTCTAAATTCGTCCATACATCCTGGCACAGAGGAGGTATACAGCAAATGATGGCTCTCAGTCTATTAATGCTGGTGTGTGGTCAAGGATCACAGAGGCTGCTCACGTCAGTAATGTGGTTGGCATACACCTCTAATTGTTTCCCCTGAGGTTCTCTTGCCAAGATCCTTTTGTGTTTCCTAAATCTCTCTCTGCTTAACAAGGGCCAGCACAGGTGACCCCCAACCCGGACTGCAGATCGGAAAGTTGGGATTCCTTTCCTGAGCCGTACTGTGAGCCATGTGACTCGGGGACGTGCCGCTCTCTCCCTAGAGGGTGGGTCTAGCTGAAGATGTGCCAGGTATGCTTGTCCTTTGTGTGTCGCAAGCAAGAGGACGGGACTTTCTTATGACCTATGCTGACTTCACTGCAGCCCTGAGCCGCTGGGCAATGGGAGGCCGGCCACAGGCTACAAGGGAACTCAGAGGCAGAGGACTCCAGAGTCCCTGGCAAGTTTGTGCCCAGAGGGACGTCCTTTGCCCCTGTCCCAGGTGGACCTCAGAATCTGGGGACCAACTAGTCAGGAAATGTTGACAGCTATGGAAAGAGTGAAAATTTAGACTACACCCCTGGGAAAGAAGGACTCACCTCTGCCCACATGTTCATTCTCTGCTGCGGTCGGTGCCTGCTCTGCAGAAGTGCAAGGGCGTTCCTGATCAAGCGTCCTGTCCCGGAAGGACCTACCATTGACTCCTGGTATCTACAGCTCTTAGGTCCTCAAGGCTGTTTTAACGCCTTACTGTCAAGCTCCTCAAGGCACAGATGATTGAGCCTACCGGCTTTCGTCTAAAGGAAAGCACGCACAGAACAGAGACTACAGTTCTTTCCATTTCCCAGCTGAACTAGAAATCCAAACTTCAGGTAAGTGAAGACATCGTGGTTGGCCAGAGCACTGTTGAAATCAGGCAAACAGGTTACGATTTGACAAGAGAGGGCTGGTGAAAATCTCACTGTGTTCATCCCAAAGCAGGTTTAATCTCAGGAAAACAAAGTTTGGCTCAAAGGCAGAGCAGGAAGGGGCTCTCCTCCTGATGTTCTCTACTCCCATCACTGAGCTGCTCAGCCCATCTCACAAAGGCAGTTCATGGCAATTCCATCTCATGCCCTGGGGGCTGCAATGCCGTTTTTGGAAATAGATGCCATCTATGGAGTTCTCAGTGAAGAGCATGTTGGGGCCTTTTCCCCGGGGACGATGTTGCCAGTATCTCAATGGTACAGGATACTTTTGCGTGCGTAGAGGCTGCTCTCCTTAGTCCTCCAGACGGCTCARTCTGCTCACACAGCGCCACTCCATGAGGCCAGAGTCAGCCCCGATGGCARCGAGAAGCCACCACCTTCTGTAAGGACTAGCMCGTTCCACGCCCCAGCACACGGCGCCAGCTTCCTGTGGAACCAGGCCCATCAGTGGCTTCTGAAAAGCTGCGTGGTCTTCATGACTGCCGTTCAAACCCTGGTAGGCAGGCACCCTGCTAGGGGTAAATGAAGGCTTCCCAAGGCACAGGCAGGGAGGGGTAGCTTTAAATTGTGAATATTCACAGTAAGCCAGAAATCACATCTTTGCCACTATTTAAACTTATGAACAATTTCCGATGCTAGCTTAAAAATGTGTGTGCGTGTGTGTGTGTGTGTGTGTGTGTGTGTGTGTGTGTGTCTGTCATAGTTTCACAAAATTCTTTTGCAGGGAAGTGAGCAAAATTGTCTGGAGTCCACTGATTGGAGTCGATAGGACCTTGGCTGCGGCTTTCAAAGCCCTCGGTGGAGGTGGCCTCAGGCCTCTCGTGTGTCTGCTCTGTGACCGGAGCACAGCAAGCGTATGTCCTCACAGGAGCAGAGGTGGGCGCTGCTTCCAGGACCCCGCACTGTTTTTAGAATCGAACGGCATGAAGGCACGAAAACCCTCATGTGGGAAGTGAAAGTGCGAGTCACACGACAGAGATGTGACTTCAGCCTTGGGGACCAGCAAGGAGGGGGAGGGGAAGGCCTCTTTCCCTAGGACTGGAGTGAATCGCTTTCTCTCTCATTCTCATGTTGGGACCCTACAGTCACAAAGCGTCTGAAAAGCTGTCTGTGTCTGTGTCTGCTGCTTCTCTCATTCCTGCTCTGGGGCAAGAGTTGAAAGCCACTAGGAAATGAAGAGGTCGTACTTGAAGCCAGTGGTTCTCTCAAACAGAGACACCAGAAGGCAGGGGCGGGACTGGTTAAAACATTGCTGGGGGGACTTCCCTGGTGGCACAGTGGTTAAGAATCCACCTGCCAGTGCAGGGGACGCGGGTTCGAGCCCTGGTCCGGGAAGATCCCACAGGCCGTGGAGCAGCTGGGCCCACGCGCCACAACTACTGAAGCCTGTGCACCTAGAGCCTGTGCTCCGCAACAAGAGAAGCCACCACAATGAGAAGCCTGCGCACCACAACGAACCGTAGCCCCCGACAGCCGCAACTAGAGAAAGCCCATGCACGGCAATGGAGACCCAATGCAGAAAAAAAAAAAAAAAAAGTCTACAAATAATAAATGCTGGAGAGGGTGTGGAGAAAAAGGAAGCCTCCTACACTGTTGGTGGGCATGGAAATTGGTGCAGCCACTATGCAGAACAGTATGGAGGTTTCTTAAAAAACTAAAAATCGAACTACCATATGATCCAGCAATCCCACTCCTGGGCATATGTCCAGGCAAAAGTATACTTCAATAAGATACACGCACCCCTATGTTCAGAGCAGCGCTGTTCACAGTAGCCAAGACATGGAAACAACCTAAATGCCCATTGACAGATAAACAGATAAAGAAGATGTGGGAATATATACAATGGA